AATTCTGCTCCTTAGTATCTGGACAGTGCTGCTTTATTTGTCTTTGGTAATCTGTCCTGCTCTTTATATGCTATCATTCTGGCACTTCAGCTCAGTTCATTCAAGATGGCCTCCTGCTGTGCTTGTTTGTTATCTTGCCTGTCAGGAGGGACTGTTTGCATATTTTGAGGAGGTTGCCCTTGATGCTCAACCAAGCTCTTTGAAGTTCCATTGCCCGTTAGGGCAGCATGCCTGGGGATCCCACTTACTAGTTTCTTTAACAAGCTGAGGTTTTCTATCCAGAAATCTGATTCTGGTACTTGCTTTTGTCACTTCCCTTCGTAACTTGACCTCTGCCATCCCATAGTTGCTTGTTAAGGCTGCCTCTGCCATCACTGACGTGTTCTTACTCTACTAATGAGTAGCTGGTCTAGTGGAACACCTCCTGTAGTGGGCCTGTACAGCACCTGCAATAAGAACTACTATTACTTATTCCTGCATTTCTTTTGTATCCTGCCATGTTGCCCTCCCAACAGGTATTGAGGTGGTTGATGCTACCTCGCCATGCCACCTGTGAGCAGTAGCCTGTGATTAGAGGCTTCTTCCAGTGCTGAGGATGACTTACTACTTGACCTTTTTGACTGGGTGGTTTGTAGCAGATGCCATGATGGCATTCACCTTTTGGTCTGCCCTTCTGATTTTGACCTGTAAACAAGTTGAAGTTCAACAAGTTGAAGTGTTCCATAGCAGAGCTGTGCTCATCCTTCCTGCTTGTTGCTGGTGAGGAGCTTGCATCCATCTCTCACAGCATGCTGGTTGTGTGAGCTATCCTGTTGTGTCTCCAGTTCTAGTGACATCCCAGCTCTGCAGCTGTGCACAGGCTGGCAGTTCCTCTTGTTTGCATCACAGGCTGTGTGCTTTTGTCTGCTCCTGTTCTTTCAAAGGGAGGGACAAAACTTTTTCTAGAACTCCATCCAATATGTGCTTCCCTTTTCTCTGTTCCCCCACTTACCTGAAGGCTTTGGTTTCTGTTCCTTGGTGAGCCTAGTTTAAAGCTCTTTTCAGTAGGTTAGCAAACCTGATAGCAAAGATAGTTGTGACCTTCTTTGTCAGGTAGATTCTTTTTTTCCCCAGTAGTCCTTATTCCTCTCGGGATTCTGTGTTCAGAATTATTCTGAAAGTAAAGCTCAAGGAAAATGGATTCAGGAGAGTATAGTCTCCTTTAAGCATGTAACAGGCAGTGAGAACCAGAATCTAATGTTGACTTCAGGCTGGAGCTACAACTGTAACAGCATTTTTTTCTCTATGAAGCTTTCTGCTTTAATTCACAAGTTATACTTCAAATATACAGCACTAGATGATCTCTAGAGGTCTCTTCCAACTGCTAACGTTCTATTACAATAGTAACTATCATCTCTTCTCCCCTGCTCCTTTGTTCATCTCGTCTGCATCTCAGCCTCTTTGTTAGTCCAGCCTTGTCTTCACGTAAATGAGGGCTATGGGAGGTATGTGTTTATGATAAGATTGGTGATGTTTCAGTTTCATAGCTCCTGGTGGAGGAGTGATTGTACCGTGGTGCCTTTATTTGCTGTGAGAGTGGACTTACCCAGTGGACTTGACCTAATCGAACTGTTTAGGTGCAGTAATCTGATGCTTCCTGGAAGCATCAGGCTTAGTGTTCATGTATTCCTTAGTGTAAAAAGAGCAGCTGGGAATGAGCTTAGGCAGCTGACCCAGACTCCTTGAGGGGGGCCTTCAGGAAGGAGAATGACTGTGAGCAAAGAACCTGTACATGAGCTGTTTCAACAGCTGCAGGGATTAGGTAGTGTGTGATAGACCGGATAAACGAATCCTGAACTCTCCCCTGAGCGTGGCATCCGTAGTCAGATGTAAATATGTGGATTAGCTGGTCTCCTAGTAGATGTGGAACACCTGAATTTAGTGTGATCTGCTTTGCTCCAAATTTCCCTTTTAAAGTTTGGTTTCATGGTGAATGTTTTTATGTAGGCTGTAGAGTTCATTCACCTTTATCATTCATTTTAATATATGACTTGGTGGTTCTGATGACAAAGGGTTTGAAAGTGCTTCATGACTGACTCGTATTTAGAGAGTAGCACCATCCCAGCAAAGGGACACAGTGTACAGAATTAGAACTAGCCAAAGATACCAAGCAGATAAACATTCCACAGGATTTTAAATTAAGATCTTGACACAACTGGAAATCAGAAACCAAGTACAAAGATAATGATTGTGAAATGATACTCAGGTACAAGCTATAGAGTTTTCTATATTGGTGGAAGAATATTGCTGTGTGTTTAAAAACTCAGGACAGTAAAAACCAACTGTTTTAACAGGAAACATCACACCCATATGGTTTGATCATGAATAGTACAGTATAAGAACCGTGCATTCAGGCCAGGATAGCAACATTTACAGTAACATATTCCTAGTATTAAAATGTTAAATAGCGTTTCTTCTAATTGTTCTGTGTGGTAGTCACCAGTGGCATTACTTGTATGTCAACACCAACCTAGTGTTAGAACTAGAGAGTACTGAATATTAAGGTGATAGCAAATTGTGTGCTGTGCAAAGGTGTATTATGGGCTGATTCTCTACTTAGCTGTTTCCTTTGTAAATTGAATGTCACTTGCAGGGACACTATACTATCTACATAGTGACTTTTCACTATCCTTATGAGGGGAGCCTGTGATTTAGGGTAAAGAAGGGAGGAGACATAATTAGGTATTTCAATGTGGATTTTAAGAGTTTTATTTGTGGTTTTGTAAGATTTTATGAATAAATGAGTAATTGGGGAAGCTTTGGATCTGGTTTTGTGTGCTTTAGTCCCTTGTTGCTTTCAATAATTGCTAGGCTCAAAAAGTGTTTCTGCCTCACCTATTACCCAAAATTGCATCAGGCTTACCTTAGTTTATGTGCCAACTAGTCTCTTTATGATGTAAAGAAGAACCGTATGTTGTATTGTTGTGTTTAGAAAAAGAATATTTCTACATATTTCCCAACAAAACAGTTTTTTCCTATCTTATGTATACGCAGACATAAGCTGTTTATGCATTTAGGTAGTCTGTCTTTAGAAATGTGACCTTTTGTTACAAGTTTAGAATGATGGATGCATTGTAAAATCCAAATGGGGTTAACTGGAGAAAAAATAAAATAGAACATTTCAGTTGAAAGAGAACTTCAACAGTCATCTAGTCCACTGACCATTTCAGGGCTGACCAAGAGTTAAAGCATGTTATTAAGGGTCCTGATCAAACGCCTCTTAAACGGTGACAGGCTTGGAGTGTCAATCATATCTCTAGGAAGACTATTCAGGTGTTCGAACACCCTCTCAGTAAAGATGCTTCCTAATGTCCAGTCTAACTCTACCCCGGCAAAGCTCTGAACTATTCCCACGTGCCCTGTCACTAGGAACCAGGAAGGAGAGCTCAGCACCTCTGTATCCATGTCCTCTCCTCAGGAAGCTGTAGAGAGCAGTGAGGTTACTCCTCAGCCTCCTTTTCTCCAAGCTAGATAAGGCCAAGGTCCATAGCCATTCCTTTTAGGACAGCCCTTTTACTAGCTTTGTTGCCTTCCTCTGGATGTATTCAAGGACCTTCACATCCTTCTTAAGTTGTAGGGCCCAGACCTGCACACAGTGCTCAAGGTGAGGCCGCACCAACGCTGAACACAGCAGGACAGTCACCTCTTTGACAGGCTGGTCATGCTGGGTTTGAAGCACCCCAGGATGGGGTTTGCCGCCTTGGCTGCCCGGGCACACACGGCTGAATCCTACCAAGCTGCTGCTGCCGACCAGCACCCCCAGATCCCTTTCTGCAAGGCTGATTTTCAGCCACTCCTCTCCCAGTTTATACTTGTGTCTGGCATTATATCGTCCTAGGTGCAGAATCTGGCATTTGGACTTGTTAATTTTCATCCTATAGGCCAATGTTCTAATCTATCTAGATGCTTCAGCAAGGCCTCTCATCCTTCAACAGAGCCAACAGCACCTCACAGTTTGATATTGTCAGCAAACTTACTAATGAGGCATTAAACTTCTGCACCCAGATAATTGATAAAAATACTAAAGAGAGCTGGCCCTAGAACTTGACCCTGAGGAGTACCAGTGGTGCCCCATTCAGTACAACCCTTTGAGGATGGCACTCAGGCAGCTCTTCACTCAGCACACTGTGTACCTGCTCATCTCAGAGTTGGACAATTTGTCCAGAAGGATGCTATGAGGGATGGTATCAAAAGCCTTACTAAAATAAAAAAAACCTGCATCTTCATACACGAGGTGGGGTAACCTTATCATAGAAGGATATCAAATTAGTTAAATAGGACTTTCCCTTTGTGAACCTATGTTGATTGTGCCTGATGATTACACTGTTCTTTAAATGCATTTCAGTAGTACCTGCTCTGATCTCCATAATTCTTCTAGGAACTGAGGTTAGACTAACAGGTCTGTAGTTTAAGCACTATTTTTTCAAGAACTAAAGCTAGGGATTTACCTCCTTAGGAACACAGCATATCGAAGGGAGACCTCTGCAGAGCCTTAGAAGCACAGTGTATCATAATACTTAGATATCATGGGTTTGAGTCTGGCAGGGTTTTTCTGGTAGCAGAGGCAGGGCTGTAAGGCTGGCTCCTTGCAAAACTTTCAAGACCTCCTCCAGCCCAGGTACAAGTCAGACCTGCCTCTGGCCAAGGTTAGGCCAGTCAGTGCCTCTGCACTCAGTGTATTTAAGAACAGAAACCTACTGGGTGAGCCTCTTTGTCTCGTCGTGTTTTCTGTGTTGGGGAGTTTTTGTTTTGGAGAGGAGGGGGAAGTGAAGAGATCAACCATGAGGTCAGTAAGGACAAAGTGGGGAGAAGAACGTCACTGGGACAGAGATCTCCCTGAGCCTGTGCTGAGATAGCAGGAGAGACTGCAAACTGAGATCGATGGTGGCCAAATATTGAGACTGCAGCAGCACATGGAGAACCCCATGCCAGAGGGGAGAGAGACCGTGCAGGAGCAGAGGATGCGCCCAGAGAGAACTACAACTCTGAGGGGAACCTGCGCTGGAGCAGAAGGCACTGCAGCCCGTGGTGGGTCCCATGCTGGTGGGAAGGACTCGCATTGCGCAGGAGGATGGTCTCCTGTGAGATGGACACCATGTGACATCAGGGGAAGACTGTGAGAAGTCCTCTTCTCAAGAAGGAAGGACTGCCATGGGCAATGAGTAATTGGCAAAGCTCTGGCAGAAAAAGGTACACTCGGCATGTCAGATGTCGTTCACAGTACAGTATCTGTTAACAGCCAGAGCTTAAATTGCCTGTAGTGTGAGTCTGCGGATGATCACAGTTTCAGTGTACTTCACCACAAATTATTAGCTCACATAATGAGGATTGTCTCTTTCTCCAGATATCCTTCTGACCATACTTTTATTTACAGTTGATTTGAAGTTCCTCCTTGCTTGACGCCAGGTCAGTAGATGGTTTTGCTCCCTTGGTGCAATGCCAGGAAAGAAGTCTTGAGTTTTGTATAACAGGGTTTTCAGTTCTCCTGGCATACAATCCTTTGAAGCAGCACAGCAGTCAGCATAAAGTAGCACAAATAGAGGCTTTGAGCAGCATGATACTGAGTAGGAACAGTGAAAGATCTTGAAGATAAATTGCAGGCAAGGAATGCATAATGTGTAGCAGAGGCGGTAACTGCTTGCTGTGGAGCATGGAGCTAACGCCACCATCAGTTTTAGGGAAAGGTTTCTGGAAGTCACTGGGGCTCTTTGGGTATAGCAGCACACGTACGTATTTAGAAAGCACTATCAATTTGAGCAGCTCCTACTCTGCTGCATCCTTGTTGACTGTGCTGTGAATTTAATCAGGGAGCTGATCTGCTGGAAAAATAATTGGGCAGGCAGGTTTATTTTTTAACTAGGGTCGGTTATGGTTGTTCAGTGGAAGTGCTGACACACAGTGGGAATTACTGCTGTACGTTGTAGCGGAAGGAGGGACTGGAGCTTGGCGCTGCTGTTTAAATAAATGTATGTGTAACTGTGCCCTTGGGCTCCATGCCTAGGTTTTATGAGACTGGATAGAAGCTGTAATAGCAAAGTGGTTCTCTTCATTAAATAATTAAATCTGGTTATGAGCAACTCAAGTGCAGATAAGCTTGCTGACAATTTTTTTTCCTTTCTATTGAGTCATTCTGTTGGCTTAGAGTGATTATGAGTGGGCTTTTTGTTTCTTGTGGGCTTTTGGTGGTGGATTTTTTTTGGAAGGAGGTAAAGGTGTGTACCAACACGTTCAAAACTGAAACTAGAAGGAATTGCTATTGCTTAACTTCAGTGTAGTATTAGAAAAGTAGAGAAAGAGGGGGAAAAAATCAGTGCAGTGTTGCAGCCAAATTCGAATGTTCATCTTCAATTTTGCAGTTTCATGCATGTCTAGAAATGTGTCAAGTTCACTTGCCTAGTTCTTATGTTAAAACATTAATGTACTATAATTGAACAGCATTTCAATTGCATGAATAGTTCTTATCTTTTCCTTGACAAATCACATCACATGGAATGAATTGTGTGTGGTTTTGCTTTTATTCTAGAATAAACATTGATGAAAATCTGAAAAGTATTCTCAAGGGGTCTTGCACCTGCAGAAGATTCCCTCTTACTGTTCCTCTGATTATGCTTTTCCAGAAGTTTTATGTGTTCCTGTTATGTTTATCTAAAGCAATGAAGATAAACAACTGCTAACTCATGACTTACTCAGTAGTCATCTATGTAGTTTATGAAGCAGATAAATGAAAATGTATCTCAGATTTATTTTTTTTTCTGTATTGTATTTTCCTTGGTTATTAAACATCTGTCAGCTTGTTGCTAGTTGGTACTTGCAGCTAATTGTATCCTTTGTGATAGTACATGAATTCTGCAATACATTAAAGCAGTAAATAAAAGAAGCCTTTAACACTTTTATAGTTAACACCTTTTATAATAAGTGTTTAATCACTGATAATTTTATTACATTTTTTTAGCTTTAAAATTTTTGTCTGCTTTCCTTAAAAGAAGAAAAGGTCAAGAGTTCTTACTGTTTCCTTTTTGATGCTTTTACAGAGTTCAGTAAATATTCTTGTTGTGATTTTTTTTTTCTTCAAAATTTCATTTTTTTTACTCAGTTGGTATTCAGTTACTTCACTAATTTGAGAGTACCTTTCTGTTCATCCTGACTGAAAAATAAACAGCAAACATGATGTGAGAGGGAGCTGGTATTGTTCACTTCAGAACTCTGAAGTTTTAAAAGGCCTGAACTCTTCTGCCTTAATTCTCAGAGGTACCTGAAGGACGTGCTGTTATTAAAGAAACCTGTTAAAAATTCTGCATGGCCATAGAGCATAGTATTATTCACTGGGAAGTGTTATGTAAAGGAATGTGTCTTTTAGAGAAAAGAAGATATTAACAGGCTGCAATTACTTCGAAAGTTGTGAGCTGACACATTGTCTTCACACAGTGGCAGTTGTGCTTGCTATAACAGTTTGTCTTATAAAATGTGTTCACGGCCAGCTATGTTTAAATTCTTGTTAGTTCAGTTGTACAACTTCATAGTGTGCTAGAAGCATGATACAGAATAGCTCTTGAGGATTATCTACACTTAATATTAAGAACTAACAGTAAACCTTTGCATAGACAGCAGACTAATTAACGCTGTCGGTAGATACTTAAAAAAATACAGTATTTGTGTCTGAAATTGAAGAGCCATATATTTAGTCTGATGGTATTTTCCTTTGAGGGTATCATCTAGCAATTGTCAAGTGATGCTGATAATTTAAAAAGAACACAGGAGTTCAGTGAGCATTCATTCTCTGTATCAGTTGGCATCGAGAAAAGAAGGTTGGCATCCATTCTCAACCATTTCTGTAGTTGTAGACAGTTAAAGGAAAAAGCAACAGTAGTTACTGGCACCTTCCAGCATAAAAGTTCCCTGACATCTTAGTTGTCCTTTTTCAAGGCTGAGCAGAGCTTTAGGAAGGTCATTGGAGTGCATTCTACAGCTTTGTGTCATTATGGAGCACGGGCAGAGTAAGAAATATTTTAAAAAATTAATGTTTACTTACATTCCATGTAAAATTAAGACACTAGCCTTAAAAGGAATGGCTCACTTGACAGACTTGAATAAAATTCTGCAAAATAGTTGGAAGTGATTTGGGTGTTTATATTTCTGCATGCTATATTATCTCCGTACAGATAATAAGTAGCAAGCTATCCCTGAAGAATGTATTTTTCACAGGCATTGTGAAAAACAATGATGTGGCTATTTTCTGTACAACTTTATCCCTTGCTTTTTGTTTTGTGTTTTTTGGGTTTTTTTTGTTCTTATGAAGAAGCTCCTAATTCATTCTCTCTAATTGGTAAATTGCTGGCAATGAGAAACTAATAGTAGTGTGGTTAGGAGTAGCTGGTGGACAAAAGCTTGGTATTACTGATTGTAGGCTCAGCAGGCATTTTGTATCTAGAAATTTGAGAACCAAAGAAAATGTGGCATTCCTTTTGTCTCTTTCCAAATATCAGACTGTGCTAGTTTGCTGGGCAAGCTGTGTAAAGAACTTGAGGGCACAGATGTTTGAGGAATAGCTCTAGCCTTTCGTGGCAGAGAAAGGACTGTCTCTGTCTCCAAGGAAGTATTCTGGTATCATAGAATTGTTAAGGCTGGGAAAGACCTCTGAGATCATCAAGTCCAGCCTATGACCCAACACCACCACATCGGCCAGACCACGCCACTAAGTGCCACATCCAGCCTCTCCTTAAACACCTCCAGGGACAGTAACTCCATCACTGCCCTGGTAGGTGCCATCTTGCCCAGTGGTGACCAATATTACCTTTGCTTTGACACTATGTGTGATCTTAGTGATAAACGTAGTTTTCTACTGTAGAAACTGCAGTAATCTGTGTGAAGGATGTCAGCATCCAGCGAGTTGTAACATTTGATTGAGAGGCAAGAGAATATTGCATATTCTGCCACTTGATGTGTGTCAGTTAGCCCCTTATCTAGTTTTGTAGTCGCTTGCTCAGATTGTACTCCAGATATGTAAGAATCTAGCTATGTGGTTTAAGTTGGTAGATCAGAGTTTTGAATTGTAACTGCTGTTGGGCATATTCCTGTGTTAAAATACCTAAGGTACGTTGCCTATATTATTTATAATAATAATGAAATTATCATGGTTTAAATACTTCACATATATAGACTCTGTGTGTGTGTACCTGAAAATAGTTTTATGTTTTCTTGCAGCTAACAGAAGATGAAATTGCAACTATTCTGAAATCTACTCTTAAAGGACTTGAATATTTGCACTTTATGAGAAAAATACATAGAGATATAAAGGCTGGAAACATCCTTCTTAACACTGAGGGACATGCAAAATTAGCTGATTTTGGTGTGGCTGGCCAGTTAACAGTAAGTACCTGGGGAAAGATCAGTTAAAATGCTTTAGTGCTCCTAACCATGTACTTCTACTTTTGTCTTTTTATTCTACCTTGAATTTTGTGTCTGAGTAGTGACTAGTGGTGGAGCTAACATTGTTTATCATGATGAGTATTTAATGTACTGCAAGGCTGTTTAGGTTTTGGTTGCTTGTTTTTATAACCCGGTGTACTTAAGTGCCTGATGATCCCATCTGAAGCTTCCGTTTGAGGTTTATGATCGTTGTCTCCTGTTTGGCCTTTGTAGGTCGATGAGCTGAATCTGTTTGGTCTTAATTGGAAGTCACTGCCATTTAACCTGTGGGTGGCTAATTTAAATTTTAAACACAGAACTAATATCAAAAGAATCTGAAAATTAACATCTGTTTTAATTGCATAAACACTATAATTACAGGATACAATGGCAAAACGTAATACTGTTATAGGAACGCCGTTTTGGATGGCTCCTGAAGTAATACAAGAGATTGGCTATAACTGTGTGGCAGACATTTGGTCCCTTGGTATAACTTCAATAGAAATGGCTGAAGGAAAGCCTCCGTATGCCGATATTCATCCAATGAGGGTAAGTGTGTGTGCTGTTGTTTTTGTCATTGTTGAATTAAAAATGAAGGAAAAAACCCACAAATAAAGAGATTTTAAGACTAAGGATTTTCACTTGCTGTCCTGCTTACTATTTACTGCAGTTTGCCTGTGTTGTAACATGTCTGTAAGGTTTCAGAGTGCTTTTATCTCCACTTGAGAGAGAGATAAAGTGATAAGTACTTAACTGACTTGAAGGCAATGTGTAGAGCCTAGTCCATGCTCTACCTGCACTTGGAGTGCTCCATAACGTAGAAGCCATCCTCCTCTCAAAGGGAGGTTTGAAGTAAAGATGACCTGCAGAAGGATTCAGAATTGTCCTATGTGAGCAATAGAAATATTAGTAATCCCTGACAGTTTTTATTTATTACCGACTCTTGAAGTCTGTTACTGAAGTAGTTTACTTTTTTTCAAAATAAAATGTAAATAGAATTAGTCACTTTATGAGGAGTAGCAGTTATAAAGGAATTGCTTGGAGAAGTTCGTGGGGAATAGTGATTATCTAGGATTAACCATTGCCACCGTTATTAATGCTTTTATTTTTTGAAGTGAGCTGTAGAATAGCAACAGTGATTGCACAGAGCTTCAATAAATATTCTGTCCTTGAATTGTTTGTATCTAAAGCCCATTTGGTATTAAAGTGGCACTTTATATTACTAAAAGCAGATCTTTTTCATCTTTGAATTGCTGCAAAAATGACATACGTACTAGATTATTTTATTCAGTTTTCTTTTGCTGGTGCCTCATTTGTCAGGTAAGTACTATCAGGAAGATAGTACTGTTGACTGAGAAGGTACTGTTCATAGATGATTACTGTAAGGTGATGCATATATGAGTTTAAGTGTATTTAGTGCTTTTGGGTTCTTGGTTTTTGTTTGTGTGTGCTTTTTGAAGCAGAGATGTTTCCTGAAGCTTTGTGGCAATGTGTGGCTTGGTTAAAGCTAGTGAGTGTTTTGCAGTTCCAAACTGCATAATTTTGGAAGCAAAGCTTAGTACTTTTCCTGCACCATATTTTGTTTTTTTTCCTGTGTAATTAACTATTTTAAAATTACTATTCAGACTGAAAATACTCATATGAAAGCTGAGAACAAAGTAAGTGTCTCTGAAGCTTGTATTTGATGGGATTTGAATTTTGGATGGAATAACATTTAAAAATATTTTGAAGAACTATTGATTACAAATTAAATACATTTGACCACACAGGGATTTTTGTACTTTTAATGAAAATGGTCTAATTACATCTGAGTTCATTTTAACATCACTGTAAGTAGTTGCATTAGCTGTTGAAAGGTGAGGACTACGTTATCAGAGAGAATTTTTATATGCATGACAATAACTGCTTATAAATCAAAGGTCACTGAGTTTGAAAGCCTGTGAATCTGTTTAATTCTTGTAATCAAATGAGTGCTATCAAAGGCCAAAGTAATTTAACACAATTCTGGGTTACATTGAACACGTGTTCTTGTTAATAAATTACGTTACGGTTTTTAAGGGCTTGTATGCAGTTTAGTACTCTTTTGTATATTTGATACCTACAGTTTTTCTTAATTGTTATTAGTGAGTTGTTACAGTGGTTAACAAGAAATACACAGATTTAAGTTGCAATAGTTTTCCCAGTGTCATATGATATAGCTTCACAGGACTTTTGGACATATGCAGATGCTTTCCTACTTTGTTTTAGTTATGACACAGAATTGATACAGGCAAGCATGAAGGCTTGGGCAAATTTTCATTGCTTTTTCTAGATGTTAGTGGAGTTCTGTGGTATTTATGTAAGGCACAATTTTGTTACTTGGGAATGCAAGTTGAAATTACCATGTGTGCTGTTTCGCTGTGGGCTGGTTGGCACTGCCACAAAGGTAATGCACTGCCAGTAGGCCATTTCCTTGTCAACTGCATTTACAGCTTAATCGAAATATTACATGACTTCTTTAAACAAGTGTTTTGGCAGAGAGGAAATAGCAGATTCCATGCAAACAAGCATAGCTTCCTCTGCTTAACCACACTCCAGCTACTCTGAAGAATTGTACTAGTTTCAGCTGGGAAAGAATGAGAAGTGAGGGGTGCAAAATGGAATTTCACATGGAGGGGGTAAAACCAGCAGATTTTTCTTCTGTTTAAGTGTTTATGTCTTAGTATATTGGCTGCCTAAGTGTCATCAATACTAATTCACTTGTTTCTGCTGCAAACCCGAGTTCAGCAGAACGTGCAGTTGTCATACTTGGTTTGAGGCTCAAAGGTCAAGACCGTTTGCCAGCTCAGTAAGTCTGATGCTCGATCCACGTAAGGATTACGGAATGCTTCACATATTTGGTGTCAGAGTCCTTTTGTGCTTTTGCTAATGATGAAGAGTGAAATTTCTGAGTTTTCATCAAAGAAGAAATACAAATGTCTTCAAGGTCACCCTAAAATGTGGCGATACAGCCACTAGAAATAGCAAGGAATTTGCTGATAAGTCGAAAACCACTCAAACCTGGGTGACTTAACCCACCCAGCAGTGCTAAAAGTGTGTTGATTGCAGCAGTCTGTGTGACAACCAGGCTTACTGTGGAAAACAGTGTTTGCATTTGCCTTTGCTTAGCTGGGGTGAGCAGTTACGAATTTGTAGTGGGGCTAAGGAAAGTTGGCTTCAGTGTGGTTCTAGAGCAAGACTCGATCTACTCTGAAGCTGCAATGATGTGTTTTAACAGCTGGCTTCCCACATCCCCTGTTGACTGCAGCATGTATGCTGTCCTGTAGTGATAAAGTATTTATGTCCTACCACTCTGAATTTAATTCAAACCATTAACCGTTTTGTTCAATCTCTCCTTTGTGCACTGTTTCTGTTTGTTTTTAAATTCCTCTTTTGCTATTTTTTATTGTATATTTTTTAAAAATTGGTAATGGAAGAGTAAAGATTAGCACTATTTTGCTGTTGTAGTTGTGATTTTGTGTTTTGGTAAAAACCAGTAACATGCTCTTGAAATACCTTCTGTGTTTGCTAATCAAGCTACAATCTCAAATTTGTTACATAAAAGCGTTTCTGGTGGTAGATCCTTGAAGTTGCCAAGTTTTTGCCTGATAATAATACACCTACTGCTGCTATTTGCCTTTATTAACAAGAAGATTAATAGAGCCAAGTGTAGGGTCCCGCATTTTGGTCACAGCAACCCCATGCAACGTTACAGGCTTGGGGAAGGCTATCTGGCGGAAAAGGACCTGGGCATTCTGATGGGCAGCCGGGTGAATATGAGCCAGCAGTGTGCCCAGGTGGCCAAGAAGGCCAACAGCATCCTGGCTTGTACTAGAAATTTTGTGACCAGCAGGAGAAGGGAGGTGATTGTCCCTCTGCACTCAGCACTGGTGAGGCCACACCTCGAGTATTGTGTTCAGTTCTGGTCACCTCAGTATAGGAGAGATATCGAGGTGTTGCAGCGAGTGCAGAAGAGAGCAATAAAGCTGGTGAAGGGTCTGCAGAACAGACCTTATGAGGAGCGATTGAGGGAGCTGGGTCTGTTCAGTCTGACGAAGAGGAGGCTGAGGGGGGATCTCATCATGCTCTACAAGTAGTTGAAAGGACATTGTAGAGAGGTTGGTGCTGGTCTCTTCTCACAGGTAATTAGGGACAGAACCAGGGGGAATGGTTTCAAGTTGCAACAGGACAAGTTTAGGCTGGACATTAGGAAGAAGTTCTTCATGGAAAGACTGGTCAGATACTGGAACAGACTGCCTAGGGGGGTGGTTGAGTCGCCATCCCTAGATGTGTTCAAGTGTCACTTAGATGTGGTGTTGGGTGATATGGTTTAGGGGTGACCTTGTAGTGTAGGGTTAATGGTTGGACTCGATGATCCCAAGGGTCTTTTCCAACCTGAATTGTTCTGTGATTCTATGATAACACTTTGTCTAATATTTAGCTAATACTAAACCTTAAGAACTGCTGTTTTTTGAGGTCCTTTCCCTAGGATCACCCTTAGCAAAAATTTTCCTTATATTCACTCAATGACATGATCACTTATTGCTGTGAGGCTGTGATTTTTATGATAAATTTAAGCCAATTTAAGTATGGGCTGCCTATCCTTACCCAGGAGTTCCTGACCTTTCTGTTAAGCAAACACTAGCATTTTTATGGCCTCACATGGAGTTGGATAAAAAAACTGATGTTCTGAAAAGTTACCATGACAGAAACTTGCTCACACTGAACTGGAGAAGTTGTAGGAGTGTGTAGATGGACAGGGAAGGTGTGTTGAGTGGAGTTACTGCCTTTGGCCACAGCCATGCGTTGAGCCTTATAGACCAGCTATGAAGCTGCAGCCAGTGTTTTGTCAGATTTGTTCTTTGCAAGGTCAACACTTAACAACCGGGCTAGTGTACTTCAGATAAATGCTGGTAGCTATTTTCACCCCCTCCCCATGTTTCCCCCTCCCCCCGCCAAAGAAAAAAAGAAGAAAAAGCCAAAAATCCCCCAAACTCTTTCTTTCATGCTTATCAGGCAGCTGCAATAATTCACGTTGCTGCAGTATGGAAGAAGCTGGTGGTAGATGTGTTTTTCAGCACTTCACAGTATTTGCCTTTGTTTCTTTATGGTGAGGTTTGTTGGAAATGGACATGTGGGTATCACATGTTTTGCAGTGAATTAGAGGAAGCCAGTTTGAACTGCTTCCATTTGCCTGAAGTCCAATCATGATATTTATTTTTCCATGGCACTTACCCAGATTATCCATGCCTCCTGCTTAGCCTGTGTCGTTTCCACCCTGGACTAATCTGTTTGTAATAACCTTTTATTCCTGATGTATCTTATAACAATCTACCATTTCCTAGTTTTTTGTTCTCAGCATATCGCATTAAAAATGAGAGTTATTACTGTGTAAAGCAGTAAGAACCAAAGAAGGTGTCATGTTGAGCATCGCTATCTGATTGAGACCAGTTTTTCAGTCATTGAGAAAACGATTTCCTCTATGCCTTTTGCACCAGAGGTTGAGGAGAGGGAAAAAGGAAAACAATTCT